GGCATCGAGAGGTTAATCTCCAATCGCAGGAAGAAGAAGCTAAAAGAGACGACGGGAGGGTTGAAGAATGGAGAAACACAGGTACGGCCAGACAACAGCTTACTTTAATTACGCACAAAATTTTATCTTTACAACGCCGATCCTGAAAGCTCTCCAGATTCCTCTCTAATCTTCATCAATCCAAAATCTCATTTTTCAGGCCGAAGCCACGGAGATGCTGGCGGATTGCTGTCAAGGCTGTGTCTTCTAAAGTAATAATTAGTTTATTACGCGACTAAGAATTATTAACTATGTACATATAACTTTTCCGATTCCCATTTTCCATTCCGCTTTGCCAAATGTCGGGTGTGTGATTGATTGTCGCAAATGAAATAGTGTCCTCCTTTTCCGGTTGTGTACTTGTTCCTCCGAATAAAAGTTGTATTTCCTTTGACATGGCGTGAAAGCGTCATTTGGTTGCTCGTCGAAACCTACGAGGGGGCACTCGACTGACGCATGAGCAGCGCCACGATTTGCATAATTCTGATGGGGACACGAATCGCGGGTTCGAGTGATCGGCATCGCCCACTTGTCATGGGTAATACTACGATTCTGGCGTTGCGGATGCTGATTGAGGTTTAAAGGAGCCGCGAAATTTCCGAAATTACCCCTTTCTTTGGTTAGGGTCGGTGTCAATTTTCCATCAGAATATCGAAATTTCAGTACTGGTCTGTTAGCGGAGGGAGGCTAGTAGGGGTTCTAATTTTTCCTACCTATACGAACCTGTTTACAATCTATATTGCAATTTTATAGTGTTTTAGTTAGCCTTTTTAGATTGCTAGGTATAATTAAAAATACATTTAAATCTTCAGAATTCTAAAATTTATTCCTGGTTTTCGCGATTTCAATACAGTTTGGACCAAAAACGTAAATCTAAAAACTGTTGACGTGCTCTAAAAATTGTTTTATTTTGTTACCGAGCGTACTCGAGACTCGAGGCGTTATTTGAATCAGAATGTAGATCGGCGATGAGATTTGGGTGCAATTTGGCGCGTCACGTACATCTTGCCGACGAATTTTGAGCTTTAAAGGCACTTGAAGTCAATTTCTTGCACTATAATCAATATATTAAAACCCAAAAGCAATAATTTCTGTTATCTGAAAAGTTCGTGCTGTTTTTCAAGAAAAAACTGCCGCTCAAAAAGGCAGCCACTATTTTCTCACCCCCTTATCATTGCGACCTTATTTATTTGCTAGCTTCCGTTTTTCAAGCTCAGGCTCTTAAGACACAAAGTTTTCGATTCATTTCGTTGCTGCAAATTCCGGTTTCCCAGGTTTTTATAGAGGCCAACTTGGAGGGAGGCGACGTGCGACATCTTCGAGCAGTCCGGCTGCATCTAGTCGGAGAAATCAAGGAGGGCACGTAGCAGCAGTATTAGGGTTTGTTTTACCTATTTTGTTTTATCCAAAACTAAGGTGTATCGAATGCCCTAAATTCGACTAAAAAATAGTATTTTTTTCAGGATTAGCAGAACATTGCAAGATGGGGATGAAAAAGGATCTTCTGCTCGTGCTGACAATCGAATGCGTTGTATTTGGGGTGGTGCTTGGCTTCGTTGTCCGCCCATTTGAGCCCAGGTACGCTACGCTCCGGGTGGTACTATCAGAAAAGAATTTTTATGTACAAAAGCACTCTCCAGTCGATTTTTTGACAGAAAGTCTTTTTGTTTACATGGCGAAGAGGAACGGATCTTTTCCAATATCGGGGGAGGGATTGTCATAGAAGCACTACCTGCAGCTGTCCCGCTTTGGTTTAGGCTTAGGCTTAAGCTTAGGCATTAGCAAAACCGAGGCTTAGCAAACAAGCAATACCGGTAAAAGCTCAGACTTCCCCCATTGCAGCGCTCGCACGATCAGCATCATCGGGTTCCCGGGCGAGATATTCATGCAAATTGTGGAGATGATGATCCTGCCCCTCATCATTTCGTCCGTCATCTCGGGTGAGTACAAGCGGGAGTTTGGCGGGATGGATCGATCTATGGATCCCGTGTCATTTAGCCCTCTCCCAGCTGCGGTGTTCGGACGCGAGACGGATTGGATGCGTGACGGTCGTCTACTATATGATCACCACCTTCCTGTCCACGTTTGTGCGTTTTAGAAGCTAGTGTTTTGATAGCGAGCATGCTGGTCGTGTCGTGCCGCAAAGTGGCGCATCGCGGCGAGCACCTGTAAAAATTTGGCAAGAAACGCGGCGCGACCGCTACGCGTAAAAATATGTCTACTAATAGAGTCTTCAGACAGGAATCATTCTCGTCTCATCGATCCATCCGGGCGATCCGGAATTGGTGAACCAGCTCGGCGAAGGAACCATGGATGAATCACCCCTATCCACACTCGATGCATTCCTCGATCAGATCCGGTACCCCATAACGTATCATTAATGCATCATCGCCGTGTGTTCAGCAACATGTTCCCCGAGAACATTGTCCAAGCCACTTTCCAACAAGTTCAGACCGAATATATCTTGGATCGCCCAAAGGTTGTTTTTCCTTAAAAGAATCATAATTCGATCATTTAGGTATTCCGGAACAGTACATTTGCCCACACTAATGCCACCACCGGGAAGTACAAGCCCGTGTTGAAGCATGTTAACGAGATGAACGTCCTCGGTATGGGGTCAAAAAAAAGTGATATTCTGGATTTTTCAGGGCTGATCGTGTTCTGCACCGGGTTCGGCGTCATTTTGTCGCTTTTGGGGGAACAGGCCCGTTTGATGATCGACTTCTTCATTGTTCTCGACGCCATCATTATGCGCTGGATATCGGCGTTGATGTGGTACGTCGAGTTGGGGGTGTACACTCGAAAGAAGCCGTTGGATTGATTGTTTCGCTTTTAAAAACCCTTTACGCGACGCGGATGCGTCCAGGGGAAATTGACGCAACGCGGCCACGACGCGTTCGTGAAATTCGGAGAGTTCAAGCCTATTTTTAGGTGCTATCCAGTCGGAATTCTTTCGCTAGTATGCCGAAATATAGCGGATATCGATAATCTATCCGAGACAGCACAGGTACGCATTAATAGACACAAGGGGCCCTTTAACTCCGTGATTTCAGGCGTTGGCCATGTACGTAGTTACGGTAATCTGTGGGCTAATGATCCACTCCCTCCTCACCCTTCCCCTACTGTACTTTGTTGTGACGCGGAAGAGCCCGTTTGCTTATATGACGGGCATGTTGCAGGCACTCGCCACAGCCTTTGGCACGGCTTCTAGGTAGTTCTTCCACGCGCTATTGGATTCTAGGCATTTCCAACCCCTGTAAAATCTATTCCAGTGGCGCCACGTTGCCGGTGACGTTTCGCGCGCTCGAGGAGAATCTCAAGATTGACCGTCGGGTGACGCGGTTTGTGTTGCCGCTTGGGGCCACGATTACTATGGTAAGTAGAGAGGTTGAGATCAGACTTACATAGGCTTAAGCTTAGGCATAGGCTTAGGCTAAGGCTTCGGCTTAAGCTTTGGTTTAAACTCGAGCTTTGGCTTATGCCTTGCTTTCTAAGCCCGGACCACCGTAGTTTTTAGGATGGAACGGCACTGTACGAAGCTGTTGCCGTCATCTTCCTCGCCCAGCTAAACAAGATGAAGCTGACCACGCTGAACTTGTTGACGATTAGGTAGGCGACGAAAATATATAGCACACACCAATAATGCAAAAATGTGGTTTTTGAAACTCTTAAAGCCTAAAAACCTCACTTTAGTATCACGACAACAATGGCCTCAATCGGGTCGGGATCTGTACCCGCCGGTCTCGACACAATCATCGTCGTGTTGAGCACGGTCGGGCTGCCCCAAAAACATCTCAGTCTCGTGCTCACTGTCGATTGGCTACTGTAGGTCTACGGTAGTTCTATCGTCACTTTGTAAATAGAGATCGTATCCGCACTTCGGTGAACGTGTTGGGAGATGGATTTGGTGCTGGGATCATCAACCATCTCTGCAAGTATGTCCACGCAGGCAGTACGGAAATGGGCAGTTTAGGGCCGATTTGGTCGAGGCAGATACCGATGTGTTAATCCGGCAGATCCGGGATGATATCCGTAAGTGATTGCTAGGTTTTTGCAGCCAGTCGTTAATTATCAGGTGCTCTAAATACCGTACCCACAAGTCCACTGCGTGCGATGCTTCAGGCTACCGCCCCGCCAATTGCCATACCGTTGCACAATTTTCAGGACATTGAGGTGATTATTTGAGGTTTTTAGGGGTATCTTTCGCTCACTCTCTCACTCCCTCTCGCTCTCTCTCTCTCTCTCTCTCTCTCTCTCTCTCTCTCTCTCTCTCTCTCTCTGTACGAAATCTCGCCGATTTGCAGGAACAAAAACCGGTGTGGTCCCGTAACAACAATGCCTCGTCGAGTAGCCTGAGACCGGCTGTTGGCCCCTCATATGATGATGAAAGGGAATCACTGGCCGCTTCACTGGAATTCACCGTCTAACCCTCCGGCAGATGATTATGTTGAACTCGTTGTTCTCGGTTCCCATCTACTGCTTGCGACGACGGCCGATATTCTGGGCGCCAAATAAAAACAATGCTAAATGGCGTGGAAGACCAACCAAAAATACGGGGCTTCGGCGTTGATCCACAGCATGCAAGTGTAATTTTGATCGTCACGTAGCAGGCAAGATCTAGTCTGCAAAGCTGGTCATTTCCTAGGCGGCTGAGCCCCTCTAAATGCTGCTGACTGGTCCAAATTCTAGCTTTTGCGCTTTTTCGTGTGGTTACCTCGCCTTTTACCCCTTCCTTCCCCTTTTCTATTGTCAGTTTAGGGCCGGGTCACCTTCCGAAAGCCAGAACCAATGATGCAAATCGTCGCCCGCCCTGTCCCATCTACCGTACCCACCACCTACCCCCTTTGCCTCCCATTTCTCAGCCATCAAAGGCTTTTTGCCGGCCTGACGAAAACCTGATCGCCACTTGGCCGGCTAACCGTATCTTTTCCGTCAAATGGTCTCTGCTAGCTGGCCAATATCCTTAGGCATGATTGGTAGCATATATTGCGGGATTTGTTGGAGCCACCCGGGTGGGTATTGTAGCGAGAGAGAAAGAGAGAGAGAGAGAGAGAGAGAGAGAGAGAAACAGAGACACGGATGGTCACCTCGAATAATTGTTCGTGTCCTTCGAAATTGCCCCCCAATTGGCTTACGATAACAAATCGGGATGACAATAGGAGGTACCGGCCACCCAAGGCCGGATTGTGGCTACAAATTAATAGTTCGCACCACCAGGCAACTCGTGTTTGGGCAGGCTAGCAAGGACCGTTTAGGCAGAAACATCGAAACAGCAAAAAATAGCGACCAGAATCGAACCGATGATCCCCAAATTAGTAACCATCCACCTACCGACTGCGCTGCCTCTCGACCCCGTATTTTTCGGATTTTAACCAACTAAATTCTTACTCTATTTTGGTGCTTTAGTGAAGAGCCCTTGTTTCTTCCTGCCCAGAGCTGGCAATTCATTTGTCTCCTCAACTCTACCACCCCCTAAAGCACTCAGCTTCATTTCCCTGGGGACAGGCCATTCAAGGTGGGCCATTGCCGCCCAAGGAATACTCTCGATTTTAAAGGAACCGGCAAGCGTAGTAGAAATGTGAACGCTCAAAAAAAATTAAAAGAAGTACGTAAGAACGTAGAATTTAACACAAATTGTATATTTGTTGTAAGATACCCCTGGATTTTCGAAATTTTCGAGAAAAGCAAAATTCGACCAGCTTCTTCCACCCATCGTGTCTGTCATCGGGGCGGCAATGAAATTTGGAGAAATGGGTCCTAATTCTAAGGGCGGAAGGGGGGCTGCTTGGAGACGGGTGAATCGGATTGCGGGTCGTGGGTCTCCTGGGGGAAGGAAGACACCACTAATGGACTGTCAGTATTAGATAGGCAAATTAGAGAGTGGAAACAAATTGCATTGCGTGCCGGATGCCAGGCGGGATACGGTAGAAATTTAGCAAGTTCGCAGAAGTCATAATTTTCAAAAGGCGTAATTCTTGTGAGAGAGAGAGAGAGAGTGAGAGAGAGAGAAAAAGAGAGCGAATGAGCGAGCGAGAGAGAGAGAATTCATTTGACTGCCGTATGCCATGCGGGTATTTTAGATGTTTAGATATTTATTTAAAATTTGCATAATTCATAATTTCCACAATTCGCGGTTCTATGGATGCATAAGGCCACATCGAGACTTGTAGGATGAGATTCGAGGAATAAGGAAAAGAAATAAAACTAATTTCGTCTTTTTTACAAAAACTGAAAAAATAATTTTTCTAAAATTAAAGATTTTTACAGAAACATTTCTGGATGGGCTTGTTAAGACCGGTACAGTAGATCGCTGAATAAAATATAAAAGATTTCATGGTTGTTAGAAGCCATAAATCCACTTTTAATCGCCCTTAGGAGTAGGGGGTTGAATGGATTGATGGGGAGCCGCCACGAAATATGGGTGATTCTGCGGAAATGCCTGCAGATGGCACCAAGCCGTCTCGTGCGCCAACTGCGACTCCTGCGCCCGGCTCAGCCAGTCCTGAAAATAGCGTCCCCTTCAGATAGATAATTTTCCGCAAAGTGACTCGGCTAGCTTGCCCTCTAAAAATTAAAAAGCCTACTAAAAGTTGCTCGAAATATTGCTGCTAGTCTGCCCTTTGGTATTCTGGTATCTTACCCCATGCGTGTTTGCCAGCCTGCCCTAAGCTCTTCAAAAAAATCGCTTGATCTTGATTCACAAATTCCCAAATTTTTTTGCTAACGTGCCATTCTGTTTTATATTCCTAAAGTTTTTTGCTAGATTCCCTTAAAAATTCCGAAAAAAAAAGGTAAGCGACCCGTTGTGAAAATTCCCTAAATCTCTCTGCTAGTTGCCGTTGAGCCATTCACTTGCACAGCTACCCTAAAAACAAACCTTATCAAAGCCAAGCAGCCCGTTGATCGAATAGGGCGTGTGAAAAGCCGAGGGCGGAAGCTGGAGGGGAATTGACGAGGGTTGCTGTTGAATTGAGGAAGGTGGAATGTTCTGAGGAATGAAGTGTACTTATCGATAATTCCACTTCAAACCTGTGCCCCCGGTGATCCATTCTGTTGATGGTTGGCCATCGGAACAGGGCCTTTATTACGAACTATTCGGTTGATCGACGAGACCGAAGGCACATTTTCCGCATCGCAAATTCGCTCCTGAAATGATAACGCCATTTTCGGTATTTTTACATTAACGAGGGGCTAGCATTTTCTATTAGTTCAGATAGTTCTAATAATGCAATGGCAATTCTTTTGATAGTGTTTTTAGTAGAATCTGACTTTTTCACAAGTGGAAATGCTATCTACACAGCTACAAAAATGTCTAAGATTTTGAGATTTTTGTCTGAAAAATGTGGTTATTGGTTTTACAAAGAATTGTAATATTCTACTAAAGGCATCCGAAAAAAACAATCTAGGAATCCTTCCAAAAATACCCACCCCCCATAATGCAAAAGAACCCCATGTTTGACTGAATCCGGAAAAACGACAAACCTGCAATAACCGCTCCCGGATCTCCCAGGCGAACATTGTCGGGTTATTCCGTTTATAGGCCGTGATACAATCGACGACGCGAGGTGTGGCAACTTTGGGCTTCGATCCGCCGATGACACCTGGAAGATACCTTCTTTCCGTCGAAAACCTCCCTAAACGTTATCCCGACACCCCGCGGCGCCACCGTGTCCCATAACGTTTTCACGCGCGGCATTCACCACTTTCCCAAATGTCACCCATTCCTAGGCATAGCCCAAAGAATACTGGCTTTTGTTCAGGAAGTGGGTAACCGCATAGCATTACTTTCCACAGCGCGGCGTAGGGGTGCTTTTTAAGGTGTCCACAGCGTTTTTCGTTTTCCGCCAAGGGAGGAAAAGTTAAAATGCACTAATGCACGATTCTAAGCCCGAACCCTCGAGCGCTTCCGGCAAAAGCCAAGGCCGGAAAAGGGCTTTGCAAGGCGATACTATCCCCGGGATGACCTCAATTTTCGCGAGGTTTTGTTTGAGTTCCGGCGGGCGCGGCAAACACCAAGAAGGCTAAACGGATTAGCATATGGGAAGGGGAGGAGGAGAAGGAGGGGGCCATTCATTTCTGAGGGGCTCAAGGTAGCCATCGACACCTATTAGCTGTCAAATACCGCGGGGTGTTACGTGTTTCTTCAACACGTATAATTTAAAATAGCTTTGCTTTGGACAGCAATTCTAAAAGTTCTTACTAAATCAACCTAACAATACACTTAAAATATCATAAATGCAAGACCGTACCTGGTCGTATCGAGCCAGTCTCGTAGAATCGGCCGAGAATCTTGCTGACGCAGCCGTGGCTCACCCGTAGCTGTCGCGAGATATCGCACGGTCGAACGCCCTGATGGGCCAGATCGATAATTCTGAAAATAACGTTGATATAATAGAGAATCTATATAAATAAGCAGCGGAAAACCGCTCGAAGCAAATTCAGCAATAAATTCTGAACGAATCGCTGCCCTGAAAGCTAAACCTTAACAAAATGGCGTGCGGACGTGCTTTTAAGTTGTTTTTACTTTTCCTATGCGTAAGCACTTTACTAAAAAGCTAAATCTTCACTAAGAAATATCGATTCGCCGATAAAAAGTCCCGTTTTGCGACGAAAAGTTTCAGTCTTAAAAATCTTGCTAGTTTTCAGTAATCAGTAAAAACAGCTATTACAATACTTAGTATTACGTTCGTAGGCCACGCAGCCCCCGATATTACCCAAGCACCCAACGAACGTACCGATTCCGGATAGCATCCGGCAACGGTCGTCCATTAACGAACACTCCACCCAGTTGGTTGATGCCAGTATGGCCATGATCGTGTACGGGCAATGAGAAACGCCACGGGGTTGAATACGGGCCCGCAGCGGCTCCATACGGCCCGGCAGCCACCAACGCAGATGAGGGGACGACGGCCCATGGGGCGTCTACGGGGGCAGCCATCCGCTTCGACGCCCTCCACTGACTTCGGATGGATAGATGGATGGATGGATAGATGGGTAGGGCAACAGGACCCACCCCCTTTAACAACCAACAGACATACAGACAGAGGCACACACAGACAGAAATACGCACAGACAGACGGACAGAGCACCGCCCTCCCGGCCAACCAGCAGCCAGGCTGGGTATTCACCGTATCCCCCACAAGGCCAGGGGGTGGCTAGTGGAAAGATTTTTAGGGGGACGATCATTAATTCTAAAAACACTACTTCTAAAATCATTACTTTTAAGATTTAGTTCGTTAGAAGTAATGATTTTTAGAAGTAGTGACTTTTGGAAGTAATGATTTTAGAAGTAATTATTTTAGAACTAATGATGGGTACCCAGGTTTTTACTATCAGGATTCCGAAAACTAGAATGTCGAAATTCACTTTGTCGACATTTCATTTAGCCGAAAGTTCAAATTACGAAAATCCATCCTCCTGTTTAGCGGCTAAAAATAGCTATGTTAGTATTGTTCTGTCTACTAGCTGACATTTTGGCAAATGAGTGTCGACATTCTCGTTTCCGACAAAACGCTTGTTTACGCAGAAAGACTAAGGCAACGCGACACACGACGACACTAAGGCAATTTTAAAAGCTATTAAAATGCAATCAATTATAATGTCAACCACCAATTTAGCACTTGAGGTACCTCACACAATCCTCAATTCGTGCGAGATTGTCCCCATTCAATATCCTCCCCTTAATTCTTGATTTGGCAACACACGGGATCTCTCCATTCCTTCTGTCTCATTCGCAAACCATACGCTCAAAACGATTCGACTCGAGTTGACCTCGAAGTATACATCTAAAAGGCATACAGTAGCCCCCCACCCCGCCAGCCACCGGATGCACCCTCCGACAAAAGAGGGCGCTGATCCGACGGGCACAATAGCCGGGGGTGGGAACACAACCATTCGCCCTGCTCTGATAACCCCCCTCAACACCCAGCCGATCCTTACCCCCATATTCCCAAACACCGCGGCGCATAATAGCCCTTTTAGTTAAAAAAGGTTTATCCAGAGAACAAGAAATAACAAATCGAAAACAACACTTGTGGTCTAAACGCGGAAAACAACAACACACAGGGAACGATAAATAAAGCCATATTTGGTGGTGGTTTCGGAAGCGACGGGCTTATTTCTTCTCCTCCTTGGCCTCACCGACGGGAGCTGGGCCTGGGGTGCTGTCCTCGGGACGCATCGCCGGGAAGAAGAGCACCTCCTGGAAGATCAATGTAATTAAATTAAATAAAATCAATGTAATTAAATTCTTTGCAGATTATCTATATCGCCAAAACGGGGGCTTCTGCGCGTTAGCTAAAAAAGTCACCTTGATATTATGCGAATCAGTGAGGAACATGGAAAGTCGATCGATACCCATGCCCCAGCCGGCTGTCGGTGGCAGTCCGTACTCCAGGGCCGTGCAGAAGTTTTCGTCAACCATTTGCGCCTCATCGTCACCGGCATCCTTATCCTAAACAGAAAAATCTAAATAATTAACCGCTGTCCCATACCTTGGCTTGCTGTTCGAAACAGGCGCGTTGGCGCAGCGGGTCGTTCAACTCTGTGTAGGCGTTGGCAAGCTCCTTCTCAGCGGCGAAAAGTTCAAAGCGCTCGGTCAGACCAGGGATAGAACTAAAATTAACCCTCAAGAGAAAACTTTAAATTCGTACCGATGCCACTTGGCCAACGGCGACATAATTTGCGGGTGGCCGATGAGGAAGGTGGGACTGATGAACGTCGGCTCGAGGAACTCGCCAACGAGCTTGTCCAGAAGACGAGCGGCCGTGCGTGGGGCAGGGCACTCTACCTTGTTGTCGACAGCGATCTTGTCGAGCGCAGCAACGGCTTCTGAAAAATGATTATCAGCACATGAACATCAGCTGCAATTTAAAATTCTCAGGCGACCAACCAGGAGTATTCAGCGTGTCTGCCGGAGGCAGTTTCACCTTGAGCACCTCCTCCAATCCAGCGTACATATGTACTCGGCGGAACGGCGGGGTAAAGTCGAGCTAGAAAAAACGTCCGATTACTTAAAATAGCTTACCACATGCGCGGGCTCCGTGTTGGGACCGTTCGGATGGTAGACGATCTTATGGTTTCCATGGATATGATAAACCATTTCTAAACATACAATTAAAAATCGCGACAACAATGACTAACTGGATAGCAAGTCTTCCGTCAGGCGCATAACATCTTCATAATCAGCATAGGCCATGTAGAACTCGCAAGACGTGAACTCCGGATTATGGGTCTGATCGATACCCTCATTTCGGAAAAGCCGTCCAATCTCGTACACCCGATCGATTCCTCCGACAACAAGCATCTAGGCGAAATTTAACGAAGGATGTGCCAACAAACCTTGTGGTACAGCTCGGGAGCTACACGCAAGAAAAGATTAAGATTGAGGTCGTTGTGATGGGTGATGAAGGGCTTAGCCGTCGCACCACCAGCAATCATGTTCATCATCGGAGTCTCAACCTATAATTCGACGCAGTTAAAAAAACAGGCTCAATAAATTACCTCCAAAAAGCCCAGGTTGTCGAGATAACGGCGGAGGAAGGTGATGGCTTTTGAGCGGATGACAAACTTGTTCTTCACAGCTGGGTTCATCAGCAAATCCAGATACCGCATACGATATCTAAGAAAACATGTGGATTTAAACGCTAATGCATACCGGGTCTCTTGGTCCTTCAGTCCAAAGTGTGTATGAGGGAGCATGTGCAAGCACGGCGTCAAAAGCTCAAGCTCCACTGGAACCAAGGAAAGTTCGCCGGATTTGCTCCGGGTAGGATGACCCTTGAAACCGACGATATCTCCGCGCTTGACGCGGGAATGAGTCTCCACAAATTCCTCGGTCATGTTATGGAAGCGGGCGTTGGCCATAATCTAAAAGAAGAGGCTTGGCAACCGGAAGCGTCACGGACCTGGAGATGGGTGCCTTCCCCCTGGACATCATAGAAGATTAGCTTCGAGCCGGCCTCGCGCTTGGAAAAAATGCGTCCGGCCAGTGTGACAAGAGTATCCTCGAGCACTTCTTCGTTCTTCAAGTGAGCGTACTTCTCATTGAATTCGACCAGAGAGATCGACACGTGGAACTTATGCGGGAACGGATTCCCTCCAGCAGCCCTACAAAATGCATTTGTTCATTGAAAAATTACACAACCTTTTGTCATCGATCATCCGAACACGCATGCGGAAATACTCTTCTGGATCGGAGGGGTCAACCGCCCTCTCCGCTCTCGCAGCAGGGCCATTTCCCGCAGCCGCCAGCTTCTCAGCCTTCTCCTGGCGTTCCCTCTCTAGACGTTCCTGCTTCTGCAGCCGCTTCAGCTCACTGGAAAGAAGGATGAACCCCAATTTTTTTCATTATTGGTGTATTTTATGCTTTGCTTGGTTACGAAAGCGCGCTACCTCTTTTTGGAGCGCATTGCCGAAAATTGCAGATTACTGTTGGCACAACGCAATAAGGCCCGCGCAGGCATACGCCCAGTTAGAACAGCTTTGGCCCACATGAGTTACCTAAACTCAAGTTAGCGCGCTGCCAAAACAAGGCATCGAATAACCCCACATCTAATAGAAAAAGCCCACTTTTTGCTAGGGGGTGGTGGAGCAGACATCGAAGATCCTGCCGGCGGTGGCTAGCTCTGAAAAAAGGCGTTTTTCAGACGCGTGGCCACGAATGCGGAAAATAGAGCCTAGAATCGAGAAATCGCAAAGTTGTCAAGGCGGATGAGTGACAGGCGGGAAAATACAGGAAACTGATTACGATAGCTAGAGGTGCGATGTGCTGTCCGCACAAAAGACACGGTTGCCTGGGCGCATATTAGCGGGGACAGAGGGAAGGGCAAACGCGCACTATTACTGAAAATACGGTAAGAGTTTACTTTACCCCCCCACAGCCGAAGGGTCTCAAAGTTGTCGGTATTTTCGCTTATTTTGTCGGGATTTTCGCAACGCCATTCGATAGAGCGTCGAAAAATATACTAAGAGTTTTAATATGAGCCTACAATAATGTAAAATAAAAAAGTTATAGCCAAAACATTCCGGCTGGGGGGGGGGGTAAAGTAAACCGTAGCCGAAAATACTAAAAATAAGCATGCAAGTTTTCCCAAACGTTCCTAAGTTTTCGGGGTCTTCTTACAAATGGAAATGGCAAATGCCACGGTTCCGCCTAGTTACGCTTTCCAAGCCTCTTGTAATGCTGACGCAATACCCACAGCCTAACTGCGAAATGACGCAACTCGAAATTACCTCGCAGATAGCAGTTGACTGAAACCAAAAAAGTGCTAAAACTGCGGTCCTGTAAACATTTATTCGTCATATATTTGAGATACGTTGGTTCCCGTTCATCCGGAAAAAGCAAAGTGAAAAGGTTAATCGTAATTAAGACGCCTTCATTGGTGGGGAAACGAGGATCACAGCATCGCCGCGGACAAACAACATCGGCAATGTCCGCTTGGTTTGTCTGTAGATTTCCTCAAAAGACTCTTCGTCGAGCTCAACCGTCGTGACAGTCTCTTCGACCTAAAACAAAAAAAAGTTAAGTCAAAATGGCTCTTACATTGGAGAGGATCATGTTCAAATGTTGGTCGAATGCGTGTAGTTTCCCACGGATCTAAATTCAATATTGAGGTGGCGAACAATCATTACCTCTCGTTCGTTCCTCATTTTTACATACACCTTCTCGTCCAGACTGAGTCGAATCAAATCAAGAGGCTGCTCAACCGTGGAACCCAAAGCCTATACAACCATTGGCGTAAACAATTGTTCACTTACCACCGGCAATTCTTTCTCCTCGCTAGCTGCCATCTTTTTTTACACGTCTGCCTGGAAGATGAGATTAGCTTCAACAGCAACACCACAAGTATGTCTAGTTGATAAAACTAGTCTTCATAGCAAAACCTCGTAATGAATTCATTTATCCGATAAACAGATGAGGATCATTCTGCAGAAATTTTGACACGCGAGGGGGCGATCAAATTGAGACCCGTCTCCTTACATACAAATCCAATCGGTCCATATTCGCATTCGGCACATGTGAGGTATTTGTACTGAAAAACACCATTTGATGTTTGAGAACAAATTTTCTTACCCCGCCGACTGCATGAGTAAATCCGACGTTCTCAAAGTCCATCATATTCTTAACCGCCCAAAATCCTTCCAATGTCTCCTTGTCCACTTCTTGTTCCTGACGATCCTTACGTTGTTGAGCCATCGGCAATTCGAAGGACACTGAACCAGAACCATTTTTCAGTCATAGATGGTAACGCTTACCAGGGTCCCAAAAAGCCAAGTTCTGCAGCAACACGATGCTGTTGCAATAGGAACAGTGAACTTTTTGATTCAATTTGTCGCCGGGCTCCTAAACGATACGGTTGAAATGACGTTATGTCTTACCATTATTCTCGCTTTGGGGTTCTTTCCGAAAACGAATCAATCAGTTTGTCCTTCAAATGAATCTAAAAACCTCCTTGAGCAAAACCGATGCTGGCTACCTGCTTGTAGAGTGATCGGATCTTCGTAGTCTGTTCGTCTTCTTCGCTATCAATTCCTGGGATTTGCCGGATCGTCTCCTTTAGTTGTTCACACGCTTGTTCAATCTGTTTCAGTCTGTTGACGTTCTCGGTGATATTCCCGCGATCAAATCTAAAAAGCGGATAACCTGAATTGGTCAAAATTGCTCACGAATTGATGAAGAGGAAGAGCTCAGAATAGAGCCGGTTGACAGTCTTTATGCAGTCGCTTTTTCCTGGAACGGTCGTCCCAGCCGGAGTGCTCATAAAGCAACTCTCTATTAAAAATAAATAGTACGAATCCACGAATCGATAAAACCACGTCGATAAAAGTGGCTAGAAACCGTAATAAATCTCCTCTTCGCCTTTATAAAAGTTTATTCGTAGCCTTACCAGTTCCCGGAAAAGGCATATTAAGAGATCACGTAAACCAGTATTTCTTATGAGTATTTGAGACCAGGGAGTGCACACGTAATTGGAGAATCACAGTCAGTACTACTTTCAATAAACAGTTTACTCAATCATTTCTTCGGTAATACCGGCGTTCTTCAGCTCCTCGGTGACGCGATCGAGATAATCGGCATCGGGGTAACCGTAGCTAAACAAAATATAACTAACATGTGGAAAATTACGAAGTGGCGCCGCCGTGAAGGCTTGTCTTGTGGTGAATGTTGTTCCATACAACGACGTTTTGAGCGCCAGTGGTTATTGAGTCACCAATCGTAAACGTGAGGCGACATTCGAACGCTTTCTTCAACAGCTTTAGCACCTGAATTCAGCCAATAATGGGAAAAATGCAGTAACATACTTTGGCACCAGCTTCGGTGTTCGGTAAGTAGGCATAGCGAGTAGTTCCGCGGTAGGGCAAACCGGGTCGAAGGTGCATCGGCTGTAATTCGACGTTAGATTAGGTTGTGAACACCAAACCAACCCCTTGGATTCCGCTCGGAACATCGTAAACAATTTCATAGTAGCCAACGCCTCCCTCAAGTTTAACCTTCTTATCACGATGCTGGAAAAAATAGTTTTGGCGTATTGATATAATGGATACCAGGTTGCAGGACATCGTTGCGTTTGATGGCATATCACCCTTCGGAAACGAAAAGAAAAGCGTGCAGTTAGGGCAACGCTTCGGACCAGAGTTATTGACGAGTTGCTAAACAAAGATATAAAACATCCCGAACGACCAACTGTGAAGCACTCCTTGTGGAACATGTGATGGCAAATCTTCAGAGCCACGACCGTCAGCCCCTCAGTGTTCAATTCCATCAAACAAATTGGGCATGGATCGTCGGTCAACTAAAAATTTTGATCATCTACCAGAAAGATCTTTCACCTTGCTCGGATCCACATCGTAGGTGAAATCAGCATTATCCGTGTCATCAGTCGATGTGCTCTCGCTGTCTAAGTAATCATGAGCGTTCATAGGGGAATCCCAACCGTTAGAAAATGCCTGCGCAAACTTCTTGACGATGTGCTCGATCATGTCGCAGACAATGAGGTTCTAAAAAGTTTTTCTCAAAGTTCCAGATTGCCCTACTTTCAGCTTGGCCAATCTGCCCGTATCGATCCGGGCCTGGATCGCATTAGACAGGTGCTTGGCCGAATCATCTGCCGACACATTCATGGCTCCTAGAGAATCGGTAAGAAATTAGAGGTAAGTTACCACATCCTAGGCCAGTGACCGTCACTGAATCGATGTGTAGGGCTTCCAGTTTGTCCATCAAGGCCTCATAGCATTTCTAAAAATTTGAGAGTAAAAGGGTCAAATTTTCAAACAATCGAAACCTTTTAAAAATTACCGCTATGTGGCCCGGGTTAGGTTCAACCGCAAGAATGAGATATTTGTAGGGGGTGGTCGTGCCATCAGCTGTGAGATTGAGCGAATAGACGTCTCCAGGTCGCACCTTTCCCGAAAACGCGTTCAAAAATGCCGCCTAAATCTGATTTGAACAACCACGGAGGCGTACCTTTACAGTGCCAATGCCATATAAAGCATGTAACTTGTTGTGGACGGTTCGATTGATGAGGCCCTCCCTATTGGAAGTGACGACCAAAGCGTCCGCAACGTCATCAAAAACATCGCCCTAGAAAAGAAGTTAATAGTTAGGAAATGACAGCTACCATCCTAAAATCGATGTCGAGTTGAGGATCCTCGCGAAGCCGAACGGTCTTGTAGTTGACAGCCATCCGCTTCTTGTTGATCGTCTTGGTGGCTTTCTTTGTCGGAGGGTTCCTGGGTTTTCCTTTTGGAGTTTTTCTCGCCATAAAATGCAATGCTGAAAGTTAAAAAATATTCGAAAAGCCGGCAACGACAGGAATGAACATGAGAGTGGGTTCGGTGTAAGAGGGCGCTAGGCAACCCAGTGCTGGGTGCCCACGCCAGAGACGCAGTGTCTTCCCGAAAAGTCCTTCTTTCAAAACGTTTTTCCCGTTTTAAACTCGTTATAGCTAATGTAGCCTACAAATGGTAGAATAGAAAGAACACTGGTTTGCCGGAGGAGCCACTGTTCTTTAATTTTAAATTTTTTTGAGGGTCATCAGAAAGTCAGCAGGGAAGTGGCTGTTTTAGATTAATTCGAAAATCGACGTAAATCCCTAAAGCCGTCCGCCTAAAAGCCATCTTTGAGGCCTTATTAGAAGAAATCGAATATGTGTGATCCAAGAAATATCGGACCTTTCTGGAACCTATCTTTGTAAAACTTTTTGCGAAATAACTAAATTTTGAAATTTCGACCATAACCGACAGTAACCCGCTAAAATATTGTTCTTTGGATCGGAACGGAGTGTACACGATGCTCCAATGGACGGTATGATGTACCACAGCTCACTTTGGGTCAATTGCCGTCTTTTCTATTTTTTTTTGTGGAGCCAGATATCCGTCTTATGCATCTGCCTTCAAAAATTCACTCTAAAGTTCCCAAATTCTTTCATCCCTCAGAGGGCTCAATTTTGAAATATAAAACCCTATTTTCTTGCCAAAATCTCTCTTCATTAATTATTCTTACCTTGATCGCTATATTTTACTTATTCTATTTACTATCCCTATAAACCTTCTCATTTTTCATGTATGTATTTTTAGGTACAAGCGTTTTTGGGCATTTTCCGGATCGCTCTGCAACGTTTCGGATCCCCCAGAACCCCGGTAAGCCCGGTTTGATAAAAAGAATTAATTTACTTTGAGCTCTTAGATGAGTTCGGTGCTGACGAACAAGCAAGTTGAGCTGTCCGCTTCTCCTCCAAATAAACGTGCACGCATCGTCGAGCTTAGCGGCCATAAGGTGAGTGCTGTGCCCGCGGCGTGCAAAGTTCCTTGTTGGTTCTTTAGCTAGCTCCGTCTTTTTTCGACACCAAACAACATCTCAATTTAATCTATCCCTTCTTATCAACTTCACTGTTACTCCAAAAGTCTTTCTAATGCTAAAAGTTTTTTTCTCGCTCGGTTTCCGATTTGATCCGCCCCTTTCCAGCATTGATTTTCACACTACATCTGCTTTTATTGCATGTATCGGTCATTTATCATTGACGAAGTGAAACAGGCGGTCTGTCATCTGGTACGTCCCCGGGAGAAATATTTCCATCACCCCGTCTGTGTTTGGCCATGCCCCTATTCGCGCTTGCGCTGCGTCTCTCTCCTGTCCCCACTATCTCAATATCGTGGCTCTTACGCAAGGAATTGTCAGCATTTCTCCTGCACATTTTACGTCATAATTCATCGATTTAAGCGGCTTAACGTAGATTTTTAGGAAACAAGCTTCAAGATGTCCGGAGGGAATGATGAGAAAATGGATGTTTCTGAGTCTACCACCAATGGGGCCAACGGTTTCACGAGGAACATGGGTGACGTGGACACCAACTTGTACAGCCGTCAGATGTGAGGATTTCCGAGTGGCTTAAAATTAGTTTTAGTTATGCACTCGGTGAATCGGCTATGATGCACCTGCGCAAAAGCTCCGTGTTGATTTCTGGTCTCGGCGGTGTCGGAGTTGAAATTGCTAAGGTGGGCGTCGCGGATTTTCTAATTTTATCTTCCTAGAATCTTATTCTTGGTGGTGTGCGCCACGTTACGATCCATGATGTCAAGCCGACCACTTGGCGAGACCTTTCGGCGCAGTATTATCTTCGGGAGACCGATTTGGGCAACAATCGTGCGGAGGCTTCTTTTGAAAGGTACGCGTATTTTGCGTGACAAATTCATGTCGTTTGCAGGTTGGCTGAACTCAACGACAGCGTCACATGTGCTTTCAACAAGCAGCCGCTGAGCAAGGAATTTATCGCTGAATTCGATGTTGGTACCCACATTCTGCTGTATCTTGTTTTTAGCTTATTGTTTTGACCGACACACCACTCCAAGAGCAGCTAGAGGTCTCCAAATGGGTCCGAGAATCCAATAAGAAGCTTTTGGTTGCCGACTCCCGCGGTCTATTCAGGTTTTTTTATAAACTCCACCCATACGTGTATTTCCAGCTATATCTTTGCGGATTTTGGAAAGCAGTTCCGAATCGACGATACAAATGGGGAGCAGTGCCGAGAAGTTGCCATTTGTTAGTTGCCCCTATATTGTACTTTTTCTAGTTCCTTGTGGAGCACATCGATCATGAGAGCGGTGATGTGACTGGGCTTGAGACAATGCACGGATTGGAAGATGGCGATCATGTGGCTTTTAGGCATGTTAAATTGGATATTCGAACAACATCTGCTTTAGCGAAGTGAAAGGCATGCCGAAAATCAACGACGCTCCTCCATTCAAAGTCACCGTGAAAAGTACGCCGTCTATTTTCGACGTTCAGTTGACCCTTCTTTAGATTCGAAAACCTTCACGATTGGAAAGCTGCCGGCTGATTTCGGTGAACACACGGACGGAGGACGCTGCCGCCAAGTCAAAGTCGCTACTTATGTCGACTTCCTGTCACTCCCGGAAGCACTTGAGAAGCCGGATATAGTCCATTGGGATTTCGCAAAATGGGACTACCCTCAACAACTTCACGCCCTCTTCCAGGCGCTGTATGCCTTTGAAGCCAAGGTACCATCGATATCCTTTCTTCCTTATGAAATTTACAGCACGGCCGTTCGCCCGCTCCGCGATGTGACAACGATGCGGCGCTACTAAAAGCAGAGCTTCCGGCTGGTGCGGAGGTGGATGAGGCCCTTCTGAAGGCATTCTCATACCAAGCAACCGGACTGCTTGTCAACGTTTGCTCGGTCGTTGGAGGAGTTGCTGCTCAGGAGGCGATGAAGGCGGTCACCCATCACACTACCCCACTCAAGCAGGTTTGTGTTACTGTTTGAATATGTGGAAGTTTCTGTTTAGTTTGTCTACTTCCATCACACTGAGGCTCTTCCTGGCTCATGGAGCGGTCTCGACAATGCGAAGCTGACAGCTGCGGACTGTGCCCCGCGGAATAGCCGTTACGACTCGCAGGCTGCTGTGTTCGGATGGAAGTACCAAGAGGAGCTCGCCAACCAGAGATGGTACATTTCTATTTATTATTATCACTGGGATGAGTCGCGGGTGGTTTTTGTAAGACTTTTCTCCATCGTGCTTGGTCGGCTTCCTTGGCTGTTTTGAGTCGAAGCAGTCGGACTGACCATTGTGAGGCTGCACTTTCTCGGTTGTTGGTAGACCAACATATGTAGCGATGCCGGAAGTAGTTTATGCGCCTAAGCACTATTTATTACTTTAGCTTGGGAATCTACCTCATTTCGTATCTCGTTGCTAGTTATCAAGAACACTACAGGAAAAGATAACGTGTAGAAATTTGCGGTGATTTTGCCAATTATATACATAGTGTACGCAGTTTGACCGTCGACCACTATATGTGTCTGAGCGAAAATAACTGCCGTGTAGATCTAAACCAGCTGTCTTTTGCTGTTATAATGTTCTAATCCTACCAGGTAGATCCCATTGATAAAGATAGCTTGATGTAACAATTTGGTCTCAAGGGGAATTTTTGCAGTTTCCGTTTTTGCGATGGGGCTTTGTTGTCGTTGGCGTACGATAGCAAAGTACAATCCGATGTATAGGAGGATAGTTATGAAGGGGAGTGCATTCAAAAGTTAGCATCAAGATCTAGCAAGGCTGCATTTCGTTTATAATGCCGGGTACCTGATAAGCTCCGACCACAGATGAAGCCATATTCACGTAGCACACGTCAGAGTACATGCCATGGTCAGCATCTAGGTCTTTTCTATTAGGGATAGCACCTGTCCTACCGTATTCCCGTGAGCACCGCATCAATGCGACAAATATCACTGGGATACTGCTAATAAACCACCCGACCGCGATAGTGAAATAGATTGATCTCCTAGACGCCGCTTTGTCACAAAAATTTTTAACAAAACCCGTTGAAGAAGAGCTGTGACGCTTTGTCGCTAGCAAAGATGCAAAAGCGATTCACTGCTATTGTCATCACGAAACAAAGGGTCGCATATTGTAGTAGCATTTCGGTGCCCATCCACCAGTCGCAGATCATGTTTACAGCTTCCGTATAAGTACCGTACATCGCATCTTTTGCAAATAGGTATGGGATTGTCAGCATTGTTTGGACTAGCCCGTAGACTACATTACAAGACACCACTTGCCAGACGATTTTGTAGAATGGGAACTAAAGACGCGTTACTATTATCGAAAGTGCTTACCTTGAGCGTCCTCCTTTTCCGATATAGGATCGCAAAAAATAATACGTTGTAGCTCAGAGAAATAAGGACAAATAAAGATAGCACGATACTTAGGCTGAGGGTTGTCGGAGTAAAGTCTTTAGGAATTGTGGAAATGTTCGTGTTATCATAGCCACCAAGTTGGTTTGTTAGTGGTTCAGGATTACCAACATTTTGGCCTGTATAAAAGTTCTGCGGATTGTCAGTTACGTGGTTGAGTTCTAGCTTTGGGTTGTTCATTAGGCAAGGAAACTAGCTGTGGAAGCGGGTAAGGAGGAATGACAGGTGCTGGTCAATCCTCCGCTTAAATACTTATCGCGAGGAAAATTGGATTTGCCGGCCGCCACGACAACACTATGGCCAAAAGCAGCTGCACAAGACCAAATCATGACCGCCGCTAAATTAATTGGCGAGAAAATGTTTTGGTGGTTTCGACGTCACAACTATTTTAATCTTAGGTTCATCGTCGGTTCCGGCGCAATTGGATGCGAGCTGCTGAAGAATCTTGCAATGATGGGTGGCTTGCAGGTAGCGATCGGTTTGCTGAAGATCACCGACATGGACCAAATCGAGATCAGCAACCTCAATCGACGGTTCCTGTTCAGGCGTCCGGATGTTGGGGTAAGAAGAGTTACTTTACTAATATCCTATTTTTTAGCAAAGAAGTCCGAAGTAGCTGCTCGTGCTGTCAAGCAATTCAACCCTGAACTCAAAATTGAGGTAAATTTGTTCGATTTGCAAGCTTACCCAAATTCCGATCACTTCAATATTATTTTGTTTAGGCTATGGCTGAGCGTGTTGGAGCCGACACTGAAGCCGAATCTTCACCGACGGAGTTCTTCAGCAATCTAAATGGTGTCCTGAACGCGCTGGACAATGTCGACGCTCGCCGTTACATGGATCGTCGCTGTCTCTTCTACCGACTGCCGTTGCTTGAATCTGGCACTCTGGGCACCAAGGGCAATATCCAAGTCCGTCTACCCATATCTCACTGGCTTCTCGTGAGTTATTTCACTGCCGCAGTTAGTTTATTCTTTCAAGACTCACCAAGACCTTCGGAGAAGGACATCCCGATTTGCACACTGAGAACTTCCCCAACGAAATTCAACATACTCATCCAAATTGGGCCGGGACCAGATTTGAGTAGGTTGAATTTTGTTGTCCTCCATAAATTCTCCTCGTTCAGCGCTCTTCTCCCCAGCCGGCGTCCGGGAATGCCGAACCCTTTTGGAGGACGGTATCAGTTCATGAAGCACCTCAGAAACGTTGGCCCACAACTTACAAAAGCTTGAGATGTTGGAGGCTGTGGCGAATGCGCTGGCCACGGACAAGCCTGGATCTCCCGAAGTTGTGTCGTCTGGGCGAGGACTCTCTTCCAGGTGATCTAAGATTTTCCGGTTCCGGTATTCCTTATCTTTAGGCGAATTTCCACGATACCATTGCCAAATGCTTCACATGTTTCCCTCCGAATATGATGACCGATCAGGAGCTAATTCCCAGGTGGCACCAAGCGCTGCCGCACACACTGACCTTGATGTTTCCCAGGTTTCCCTCGCGAATTCTTGACAATTTTTATGTTGTTTAGCGAGAGCACTTCCACTTCGTTTATGCCGCGTCGATCCTCCGCGCCGAGCAATACAACATGAAGCCGATTTTGGACCAGTAAACTTTTCTTTACGTTTAACGTAAGCTCCGTAAACAGTGGCCAAGATTGCTTCCTCTGTGATAACAAAAGCCATTCGTAAAAAGCCAGGAGTCCAAGATCGCCGTCACGGATACCGAAGCCAAAGAGATGAACGAGCGTGTTGATGCTGGTAGCTCCCCAGCTTCGCTAACCTTTCTGTTTTTTTAGATAGTGAACAGGCGGAAGTTCAGCTCAAGACGAAGCTCGCCAAGATTGATCCGGCTGCCACGAAAAAGTTGCAGCCGATCGACTTTGAGAAGAACGACGACACCAACCATCACATGGGTTCATCACCGCCTGCAGCAACCCGCGAGCTGCAAACTACGACATCCAGCCAGCCGATGTTCTCAAGACGAAACCGGGTGCTGGTCGCATCATCCCAGCGTTGGCTCCAACGACAGCTGCTGTGGCCTGGCCTTGTATGCATCGAGTTGTTCAAAGGTAGCGTTAGGATCCCCATTTTCTTAGTCAGCTGCAGACCAAGATTCATTTTCCTCGTTGTTTCCAGATGATCGACGTCGGCAATAAGCTGCCTAGCACCCCGCCCGAGAACTTCCGCAACGGCTTCATCAGCTTGGCTTTGCCGTTCTTCCCCATTTTCCGATCCTATCAAGGCGGAAGAGAAGAAATACGGAAGCGTCTCCTGGACCAATGGGATTGCACAGAAGTGCCGGCGCCAATGTCGTTGGACTTGAGTTATCGAATGGGTTAAGGTAGACTACCGTTCCGCTTCTTTATCTCTCCTTTAGAACAAAACTGGCGTGGACAATGTGACGATGGTCTCTTCAGGCGTGTCGCTTATATTCACTTCTTTATGAATGCACAGAATCGCACGAAGCGCATGCCAATGGAGTAAGCATTAGGTTGAATTTTTTGGAAATTGTGTTTTTAGGCTCCGGGACGTTGTTGCCGAGGTTTCGAAGAAAGAAATCCCTCCATATGCTCATTCACTGGTGCTGGAGGTAATTTTTCAGGACTTTTGGGTTTGCGGAGTATTTTCGACAAGTATCCGTGGCGGTGGGGTAGCATTGGAAGAAATTCCCCAGGGACCCGCCCATAGTGAGTTTTTCACCAGCTCGCTCCGATTAAGAATTCGTTACTCGCTAAAGTATACCTTTTATGGGTGATGGGGAGAGACGGCGATGGGGAAGATGTGGACATCCCTTATCACCAAATACGTCTTCTAAATGTTCGAATGTCTGTCACTTCCCTTTCCCTGTGAACGATACCACGATGTTATCAATTCTTTTTTAACTCGGCTGTAGCTTGTGATCTCAGCACACCAACCCGTTGTTTCCAAGAACGATAATTTATATGCGCCTTCTTAAATGGGTCAGGTTCACCCTTTTTGTCGTTGAAAGTCAATAAATATTTTTATCCATGACAGTGATTTTACAAACATCCAAATAATGCAATTAAAGGGGCAGGCAGATTGGGCTGGCAATTGGTGGACTCGTGTTTCAGCGCACAATTTTTGTTTATGGGAGGGGGCAATGGAGGAGTAGGGGGAGGTGGTGGTTTGTAGGAAAGTGGGCGGGACTAATACTGGAAAGTGCCTCCTCCACCTCCCGTGGACTGACCGTTTGCCACCCCTTCACTCCCCTTTCCATCTTTCAGTCATCAGAGACTTTGTGAGACCTTTTGGCAGCTTATTTAAATCGGTACTTATCCAAGTTGGGGGCCACTTTGGTTTTCGACTTTTGAGTCTTTCTAGGCTAGTTTTTTGTGCTGGTTCCGAATATAACAAAATCAGAGTAGTAAAACATCAGCATCTAAACGTTTGTTAAGAGTTAGAGTTTGAAGCAATTCAGTTTGAGCCTTTAAAAATAAGGCTGGGTGCCACTCCGGGGCCTAGTCGCTTCGGATGGGTGCGAGCTCGTACAGGGTTTCGGAAATCGGGGCGCCTCGGGAGCGCGAAGCGCCCAGGCGCCCCGATTTTGAAAGAGTGGAGCGGCAGCCCATCCGGAAGCGACGGCCCGCTCTACCTCGACGATGCGGCATGCCCAAATCTGTGGATAAGTCCACTTTTTATTAATAAATTTTTTACGCTGTTTTTCTCTGGATAAACCCAACGGTTTGATACGTTGTTGCGACTGTAATCGCATTCAGCGTAAAAAACTACCCCAGAAAGACTCCGAAAAGCGATTAAAAAGTGTCTCCTAATAGGTACCCTAAGCGGCCCCCCCAACTTGATAAGTACTCTGATCCACTTCATGCTGCACCTAGTTCCATCCAGTATACAACAGTCTCGCTTTCATTCTTTGCTTTTTGATGATTTCAGCCAAAA